TGTATTTTGGACGATCCAAGCAAACACCTTATTCAAGATCGTCTGTCTTCTGATGTTTTCTGTCAAGCATACTTGGTTACATCTATTAATGTTAAATACAACATCTAGAAAGGATTTGATCAATGATTCATTTTCGCAGTTGTGTTTCGTGAGTATCTCTATTAGTGGATTAAGATCGATTGATTCAAAAAAATTCTGAGATGTAGTTTGTTGATATTTTTGGAAGTTGTTATAAATTTTGAGCCTTTCGTATTTATAGATATTACTATATCTATGAATACGATGAGTGTAGTAGTTTCCTTCAGCTTTTTTCTTTTCATTACAATGAACAAAAGTCTCTTTCCAACATATACAGATGATTAAAATCTATTTTAATAAAAACTATTCTTAATTATTTTATCAAGATAAGTTGAGCTTCTTTTATATTTTTCTATCTGAAAACAATCAAGATCTGCTTAAACATATAGAACAATATACTATGTTGAAAAGTCTATTAGTATGAAATAGTAAGACTATATCGATATAATAAAACAGACAGTCAGATCTGAACAGTAAAAACTAAAAATGACATCAATATGTATTTGATATTCATTTATGTAGTTAATGTTCATCTTTACCAAGACAACCTTGTAACTTGTTTTGTCCCGAATTTTCTTGGAATGCACCACCTGAACGGTAACGGAATAATAGCTCATAAGACGATCTACTCAAAAAATTTTTTCGGGTATATTGTCGTTCTCATTCTTGATGAAATGGATTATTTTATTCAAAAGAGTCAAGACCACATATTTCAAAGAGCACAACAGACATCATCTAGAAAAAATGTAATCTGTTATGTTTCCCGACGGATATGTAATTGATACGATCAGACTCTTTGTGAAACTGGTTCTTGTCCATACAGGTTTTTGGAATTGAATTGGATTACTTGAAGAAGAAAGATTTGAAGTTCGAATGTCGGCATTTTTCCTTGTCGAACATAGACAGTTATCAACACTTGACTCTAATACTTCTCGTCTTCTCACAAAAAAAAACAGGTAGATAGTTGAAGCATACCATGAAATGGTGTATTTATTTCTCTAGTTCGCCAGCAGTGTCACATATCCAGGAAATCGGGCATACTGAAGAAGTGTAGGGAGATACCGCATCTCCTATAGACTCAGCATTTCCTGGGGAGATGTTTGGAGATATGGCATCACTCAGATGAGTCCTAGATTAAAAATCAAAAAAAAAATTCATCGGGAGAAGTGGGAGGTGCCGCATCTCCCTGTGGAGAGGTGCGGGAGATGCGGCATCTGCCGCCGGGGTCCTCGGCTAAAAATCAAAAAAAATTTTTGCATCGGCAGATGTTGGGAGATGTCGATATGGGAGATGTCGATATGGGAGATGTCGTATCTCCAAGCACTTCTCCACAGGAAGATGTGGCATCTCCCGTATCGATATCTTCCAGCATCTCCCGATGAAAATTTCTTTTTGATTTTTAGCCTAGGACCCCAGCGGGAGACGCACCTCTTATAGAGACGCGGCATCTCCCGCATCGGCATCTCGCAGTATCTCCTGATAAAATTTTTTTTCGATTTTTAGCCTAGGGCTCCAGCAGGAGATGCGTCTCCATAGGGAGATGCCGCACCTCCCGCATTCCTCTTAGTGAGGGTGAGGGAGAGACACACACAGCACATTTCTCTGAGTGAGGGTGAGAGACACAGCACATCTTTCTGACTGAGGGTGAGGGCGGAGGATATGTGACATCTCTCGCATCTCTCTACACTTCTCCCAGATCTCCTTATACTTCTCTCGCATCTCCTTACATTACACTTCTCTCGCATCTCCTTACATTACACTTCTCTTGCATCTCTCTACACTTCTCTTGCATCTCTCTACACTTCTCCAGCATGCCCCATAGTCTGGATATGTGACACCACTTCAATTCGCCGAACCGATTCTTTCTGGCGAGCCATCCTAATGTAGAAAATTATCATAACCATATAATTAAAAATATAATCTAGAAGATTTTGTCAGCATAGACAACGGAAGATTTTGATTTTAAGAGCAAGCTCGATATTTCTTAAAAAAATCCTGATTTGAAAGTTGAAAATGAGAGAAGAACAAGTTATTGAATGATACTTAGATGGAATACGGTTATATGAACGTTTATATTTATGACAATATAACTTTTCAAAGAACAAACTTTGATCTGCATTACTGGAAAAATTTTTTACATTAAATAGAGCCTATTTAAACTATTATCTATTCAATATAGAATGGACTCGAGCTAATCCAATGTCATCTATGTTTATCAAAGTGATATTTGATAAATTAATCCTTTAATCCAAATGATCAACTTTTTGTCAAAAAATACTTTATTTTATTGAACTGATAAAATTCCTCAATAAAACAAAAAAAAAGAATATTTCTATTCATTCAAGCATTTGTTAGAGAATATTAAAGTTAAATAGAAACATTTAAAGATAAATGAAAAATAGACTTATAAAAATCATATATCAAAAAGACAAGACAAAAAAAAAACACTCAATCAAACATAAACTATATGATTAATCATCAAACCATGAAGATAACCAACTAATAACACTACGTCGTCGACGACCTGTACAATGAAAATCAATTGAATACAATCAAAAACATATAAATAAAAATATACCTGTTGGACAACTTGGATAGTAACATGGTCTAGTACTATTTATGTCACTAGTAGGAGCACATGTTGTACAATCTCTAGCAAATTGATCATAACAAAAACGTTGTCGAGTATATGAACCAGTACCACATGTTACAGAACATCGACCATTAACCCATGTAGACCAAGTACAAACTAAACATATTTATCAAAAAAAAAAAATCTAATTTCGAATATTGTTTTACTTACTAATGCATATATCTGGATTACATGCTCCAATAATAGTTGTATTCGTCTCACATAGATTTGCAGTTGAACATATTTGTGGAACTGATGAACTTGATGAGGCTACATTATAACATGTTCGATTTAATGCTCGAGTACCATTACCACATGTTTTTGAACAATCAGTTGCTGGTATATATGGACCAAGTTGACATACTAGAAAAACAAAAAAAAAACATCAACAAAAAAATAAATTATTTTCTATTTCTATATTTTATACAAACCTTCACAAGGTGAATTTTCACATATTTGTGTTTGAGTATTAATACCTCCACATGTATTACATGGTGTATTAGTATTTAAATAAAGACAAGATCGTGTACGTGTCTGATAACCTTGACCACATGATACATTACATGATGACCATGTTGACCAACCAAAATATGAACAATCTATATAAGTCAAAAAAAAATAATATTCTATTTGAAAATATAAAACATTATTAAAATATCATACTTGAACAATTATTAGATATTAATAATGATTGTGGAGAATTATCTACAGTATTATTTGAGTACATACATTGATATGTACGACAATCATTTTCTTGCCAAACACTTCCAACCTATAAATATATTTTAATAAAAGAAATATATATATATATATGAATTAATTCAATTAAATTATATATATCTACAGCATATTTTTGATTATCTGATCCATAACAACCACAATCACACCATAATAAACATGAATTTGTTGCATCATTCCATGCATAAGGAGATCGACATAAACATTTTGGTTGCCATAAACTTGTTAAACACCATGTTCTATTATTTGGATTTGAACAAAGTGAAGGACAAGATGTTGGAGTTGTATTTGTATATACTTCATTTGATTCACATACTAATAATAACAAAAAAAACAAAAAGAATGAATTTGTAAATTGAAGAAAAACTAAAATTTTTTTACATAAACAATCAGATAATTCAGTACAAGTCGTTATATTAAATGCTACACCTGTACAACCATTACCACCTATAAGAAATAAAATATTTTCTAATTTATTCAGCTATATAAATATTATTCTATATACCATATAATGGAGCTGGACTATCACAGATTCGAGTAGTATATTTTGTTGCATTTTTACCACAAGTAGCTGTACAAGCTGACCATGGTTTCCATGCACCCCATTGTCCATTGACTAAATGAAATGACGAAAAATTTATAGAATTTTTTTCTATACTCAAAAAAAAAGTACATACTTGAACAATTTTGTGCAGCTGTACATGTTTCATAAAGTAATGAAGAACCAGGACATGAAACACCACCAAATGTTGGTATTAATTGTGTACAAGTACGTGTACGAACCGTCTATTAAATAAATATATATATATATATATTTTAGTTATTATTCGAAATATTATCTTACAAATCCGATACCACATGTAGCTGAACAAGGACTTTGTGAACTCCATGTTGTCCATTGTCCATCAACTATTATATTATAAAGAAAAAAAGAAAAACAACAATACAAATTATTGACATAAATAAAAAAAACAAAAATTCAAACTTGGACAAGTGACACTTGTATTGCATGATATTGTTTGTGTTGCTGAACCATAACAAGATTGTCCTCCATCAGATTGATTTATACAAAGACGTGTTCGTGTTTGTGTACCACTACCACATGAAGCAGTACATTCTGAATAATTACTCCAAGTTCCCCAAATACCATCAACAGGACAATTAATAGATGAATTACATGATTCTATTTCATAATTTAAGCCAATACAAGGTAAACCTGTTGTTGTACAATTTCGTGTCTAGAAAAAAAAAACAAAGAAATATTGATAATCAATTTCGTTTTTTTTTTATTATAAATTATATTTACTCGTCGTCTGATACCAGATCCACCTGATAAAAAAATATAAAAAAAAATAATTTTAAAAAATCTAATTAAACAACAAAAAAATTTATCCTTACATGTAGCTGCACATTCTGACCATGCATTCCAATTTCCCCATGTACCAATTCCTATAAATAAATGAATAATTATCATTTTAAACACTTATTTTTGTTTTTATTTTCATGAAAACATACCAACAGCAGGAGTAGAACCTACAAATATATATATATAGATATTTAATTATTTTCAAAATCTTTGTAATTACATACCACATGTAGAATTACCACATGTACCATCAATTTCAACTGATGATCCAATACATGATAAACCACCATTGGATGGTATAGGATTTGAACAATTTCGATATCGAGAACGACGACCCCCAGCACAAGTTGATGAACATGTTGACCATTCACCCCATGATGACCAACTACCATCTATTGGACATGTAAGTATTCCATAACATACTTTTGTTTCCATTGCATCACCCGTACACATTTGTCCACTTGAATAAGAAAAGAAAAAAAAAAATTTTTTTCGATAAAAAAAAAACTATTTTTGAATTTAATAAATTTACCCATTTGAAGGTTGAGGATTATTACATGTACGAAAACGATAACTACTACCAGCAGCACATGAACCAGATGAACAATCAGTCCAATTTGTCCAAGATCCCCAACCACCATCAACTAAAATAGTTAACATTATTTATAAAATAATTAATAAAAAAATAAAATAATTCACTAACTTGGACATATTATAGTTGTATTACATGTTTGAGATTCTATTGATGAACCTGAACATTGTTCACCTCCAGCTTGTACTGTACAATTTCGTGTTCTAAATAAATTATTTCAAATGAAATTTACTTTATAGAATAAATAATATTACCGAACTTGAAGACCCGTACCACAACTACCACTACATGTACTCCAACTTGTCCAACTTCTCCAAACACCAGCCGCTACAAATAAACATATAGATATTTTTTTTTTTAAAAGACAAATCATGTATTGTGTATTCTAAATTAAATTAAACATACCAGGACATGTAATATTAGCATTACATGTGGCTGTTTCTAATGCTTGTCCAATACATAATTCATTAAAATTATTTGTATTATTACAATATCGAATCTAAATAAATATTTTAAATTAAAATATCAAAAATTTTAAATTTATAATAATACAAACTCGAGTTCGAATACCAGCACCACATGTTGTACTACAAGATGAATAACTTCCCCATTGTGTCCAATTACCATTAACTGGACAAGTAACATTTGTATCACAAGTTTGTGTTCTTAAAGCATCTCCTCTACATAATGATCCACCTTCTGAAGGAGTTGATGAATTACAAGCTCTTTATATATATATATATATTAAAATTATTAAAAACAAATAATCAATATTTAATATCTCTAATTTTACCTTGTTTGATACTGTGTACCATTTCCACAACTTACAGAACATAGTGACCAATCGGACCATTCACTCCAATTACCAACAACTTAAATTTAAAAAAAATCTGTATTGCTAACTTATCTATTTAAATAATATGAATGAGAATTTACCTGAATCCCAAGGAGCTGGAGCTAAAAAAACAAAAGAAAATCATATAGTAATATTAAAATACAAATAAAATTACATACTAGCACAACTAACTCCTGAATCACATGTTTCAATTTGAACTGAATCACCAACACAATTAATCGAACCAATTGGAAGACATGTTCGATTACGTATACGAATACCATAACCACAAGAAGCCTTTATATTATTTAATAAATATATATACATATATATAACTCAAAATTTAACAATTAATTCTTACTGAACAATCTGTTGCATTTACCCATGCACCCCAAGTTCCCATAACTATGAATATTAGCAGAACTTTGTGTTTTTGATAGAAAAAAAATCTTATAATGTTCATTACCTGGACATGTAAGATTAGATGCATTACATAGAATTGTATCAAGTGCTGAACCAATACAATAAATACCACCATATTGTGGTGTTGGATTTGAACAATTTCTAGAAGAATGAAATTTTTGTTTTTGAGTGTTATTATTATTTTTTGTTTCTTTATTTATTTTTACCTCTGTCGAATTCGATAACCAACTCCACATGTTGATGAACATGCTGATTGTGTCCAATTTGACCATCCACCATCAACTAACATAATAATTAAAATATTCTATTTTATTTAAATAATTTTCTAAAGAAATTAATATACTTGGACAAGGTCTATTTGATGAACATGTTCGTGTTTCTTTTGTATCACCAAAACATTGTGATCCTATAGAAAATATTTTAATTGAAAGAAAATTTAAGAATTAAATATCTATTACCTCCAAATGCTGGTACAGGATTATTACAATTACGTGTACGTATTTGTGTTCCATTACCACATCTAAAAATAATTTTTATATTTTAAATATTTTCAAATACAAATATTATTTACGTAGCTGAACATGAACCATAACTTGTAAAATTTGACCATCCACCATTAACTATATAATACAATTATAATCATAATAATAATTATAT